CATTTTATTTCCACATTTCAACTGTCTGGCTTCACTTCATTCGATAAAATGCTGCTCTAGTCGAAGGAGGCACAATGCTGTACATTAAGAACTGAGGCCACTTGGTTGCGGCCAGCCGATGAATACTGCATTACAGATACCTTATAAATACTACTAAGCACAATCAATATTGTTCAGATGGTGGCACTGAATAATCAAAAATAAATTCAGAAGAGTATATTCTATTTAGGTAAATGTGACAGAAACCCAAAAATGTTAAACTTGCCAATTTTAGATGAAGAGTGCTCAGAATTGACTGATTCAGAATGACTTAGTACCCAGGGTGTCCAAGCTAACATGAGTTCTAGTTACTTTCCCTTTTCTTTCCTAGAATGAAAATTTGAAAACCAAAGAGTACATTTAAGAAGTTAGATGTGGCAGTCCATAAAGCACTTTTACTGTTAACACGGTATGAAAATAGAGCCATCAGTACTTTACTCACTGATTTTAAATAACTTCAAGTTTTATTGCCAAAAAATGTAACTTTTCATGGTTAATGTGGTAACAAAAACAGACATTACTTTTATATTAACACCTTTGTCAACAGTTATAGTATGGAACAATAACTGCTTTTTCCACAAGAAACAATGATAGTAACGTTTCCTGAATGAAGAAATGTCTCTTTTAACTTAGAAATTATGGCAGATGTGCGGCCAGCATGGTGGCATACTGGAATAATCCTCTGCCTGTGGTAGCAGCATCCCATATAGTTCCAGATGCTCCACTTATGATCCAGCTACCTACTAACGGCATGGGAAAGCAGTGGAGGATGGTCCCTGGCTTTGGGTTCCTGCACCCACGTGGAAGACCCAAACAAAGCTCTTGGCTCCTGGCTTTGGACCAGCACAGCTCTGGCTATTAACAGCTATTTGGGGAGCGAACCAAGGGATAGACAATGCAGGATCAAAGGAACTTGAGGTTGTTTTAGAGGAGGGGACAAGAGCAACAGCAGGATTCCAAGCCAGAAAGGAGGCACTCAATGCTGGAGAAAATAATTTCTCATAATAAAACATCTAATTTCAAACACCAAATATAAGACACAATAAAGAAAAAACAATTTAGAGATATATTACTTGTCAAGCTACCCATTAAGGCACATACCTACCTAGCCCAAATCAAACTCTACAAGATGCTCAAGGACCTTCGATATAATGGCATTATCTTTGTGTGCAACCCTACATACCTCTGCTTCCGCACCTGAACCATCTCTGGACTGCTTAGCCCATCTAACACAAAGCCAGTGCTGTAACAGTTACACTGTACTGCTGAGGCAGTGACAAGCATGTCCAGTACAGGCAAAAACCTTATTCCTCAGCATCTCTGACCCAAAGTTGGTTGAATCCACAGAAATAAAGGCGGTGGTTATAAGAGGGCTGGCCGTGTATTTATCTATCCTCTATCTTCTAAAACCTACCAATTTATATTTGAAATGAGGGGCTAGCAGACATAGTTATAAGCTGCAGCTCCAACTATAAAACTCTTCTGGCATTAGATCTTGGTACACTTTTCTCAGGGTTAATAATTTTCTATTCTCTAAATCTTTTACTCAACATGGCCTTTCCCCGGTGTTTCTACATCTGTCAATCTGTCATTTTACTTGAACTTGGAATAAAGATTTACTTTGAAAGGAAATTCATTTTAGTAATTTCCTGTCCACAAGAGGGCTCCAATATTTCTTACATGAATGGAAAATACATGTCAAAAATCACAATAGATACTAATTTAGCACATAAGATACAATGAAAAAAATCTTCATTTCTCATTATCTCCTTCAACCCGGGACTACAAATTGTTACGTCTGCTACAATTTCAACATTAATAGTTTTTAAAGACAGGGCTTTACTTCAATCAACTGTAACATTTCAAATATCAAAATTGCTCTTTTCAATGTTAATTTCCCTCTCAGGCTGAATGTTCCATTACAGGGATATAATAAAATACAATTTAAGATAAAAGTGCTAAATAATACCACAAATTTGTGGCATATAATATTTTCACGAACTTAAGGATGCAATTGTTGGTATCCTTTCCGATTCAGAAAACAAAATCACCACCTTATCTACCAAATCTTACGCTTCATTACTAACACCGATAACAAACCTTTTCCTACTGAAAGTCAATGCTGATTAACATTAAATCATGCTAAAATTATATGAGAAAAATACTGCCCAATCATGAACTATGATCTATCTGGTCTGGAAAAAAAAGATGTAAAGGAACGGAATCATTTAAACATAATGCCTGTGTACAGTATCGACATTCTGTTCAGACATTTTCACATTTTTCACAATTACTACACTGAGAATGTTAGTAAATCTAATTCAAATGCAATCAGAAAAGGAAAAAAACTCAGTATTTCATGTAAATGCATTCATAATATTTTTAGGACATACATATTGTAGAATGTTAATTAGGAGCATATCAACTGCACATTATTTTTAAAGGGTATAGCAAATCCCTACATTAGAGTGAAGCTCCTCCCTCCAAAAAATGGTTAAACTTGGATATCAAAAATGAGACACCTTTTATGGTAGATATACAGAAGTACTGAATGTTTAATAATAAATTTTAAGTGTGATTTCTATTTACAAAACAAAAACTGACATTTTAAAAACTGATTCTAAAGTCAGGATCATAGTGGCTGGAAAAAAAACCCACACATTTAGCAATTTTTGTAGCATAAGATTGAATTACCTCTAATTAAAATATGACAACGGTTATAACTTCACTCATCCCCCCAGCAGGATTTTCTGTACAAGCCACAAACACCATTAAACTGCAAAACACTGTCATGTTTATTTCTCATAGTACATACTAGCTGTCAACACTTAGGAAGCTTAACGTTTTACTGCACCTAGAAAAAATGTATATAATGCATATATTCAGGCTTGCAAATGTATGGAAGGCAACAATTTAGAACTGTGCAGCAAAGGGAATGTTTTGGAAAACATTTGTTTGGGAGTGGTGAGATGGACTTTCCAAGATCCAAAGAGTGGTAAACTTCTCAGTTTGTCATGAAGGTGAGCTTAAAATTAATTGCCTACAAATATGAAGTGTCTGACAACTTCTAGACAATTACTGGCGTAGTGTGTTTTCAAAAAGTTGAGAATGTTAGGCATATATCAAATGGAGGTACTTGGCGAGCAAAAATGCAATGTAAGTAATACCAAATAAGGGTTCAAAAGGCGTTATCGAAGAACACAATCTTAACCCCTGACAAGCTGAACAGCTAGAAAACAAGACCGGAAAAATACTCGGAACTGTGACAGGGAGCCGCGCTACTCCTCATTCCCTCTCTGCAACAGCATCAGCCGGCCGCTCTGTGTTTATTACATAATAGAGCTCTGCCCTTGCAGATCACCTTTAATCAGGGGATCTCAAAGCACCACACAATCACCAGGGCCTGGACGGACCATCTCGGGTGCTTGAGTTTAGTAACTGCAACTGGTAACAAAAGCTTGCCCCCTACTTCCTGATCCCTTCAAGTTAAGGTCAGCTTCCAAAACCTCCTGCGGTTTAAGAGGAGGCATTCCCCAAACTATCTCAGTCCGCGACTGACACTACGCACATTTCAGCCCGTCTTCATCTCTGGGCCTGAAGAAAAGTATTGGCACGGTTTTAATGACATCAATCCATTTCATTACGACTTGTGTGACAGGGTAAGTGGTGCTTAGGGTGACCCTATCTGGCACTAGGATGATCTAAAATGGAGGCTTGAGCGAAAACAAATCTTGGCTGGAGGCGACAAGCCCACACATCACTCATCAGGCAGGGGAAATGGGACTTCCCGGCCGGCAACTTCAGGAGCAGGGTGGAGGGGCCCACGTCCAGCCACCCTCCGCTATTCTCGGGAGCGACAGGAAAACTACAAGGACAATGCAGGAGTGCTAGGACTCCTCAAAGAACCCCGTGGTCGTGGGCACTGAAATCACGCATCAAAACCAAGCCCAAGCAAAACGTCTAAAGATCAAATCCAGATCAAAACACCAGATCAAAACACGTCGCCGAGAGGTCTCTTAATGTTCCCTACCTTTAAAAATGCGTAAATGGGGCTTGCTCCCACAGAAATATGACGTTTGCAAAGGCTATCACCAGCCAAGTGCAATTCTATTTCCGCCACCCCCCGCTGGGCTTCAGGCTCATCTCTCAGGCACAATCTCACTAACTTGCATTTTTTCACAAACACGGTCCCCCAACTTTCGGTTCACAGCATTCTGGATGCCTGGAGCTGCAAAACGTCATTTCACACTCAAACACACAAAAAGCCGCCGCCAGCGCGGCGAGGCTACACACAGGGTTACAGAGTCCGCAGCCCTCCAAGCTTCCATCTAACTCTCAACAAGCACAAAAAAAAGGGGGGGGGGGAGAAAAGCGCCGATAAACAAAAGGCCTTTCTGTTGGTCTGTTTCCGACTCCACGATGGGAGCAAAGCTCGTGAGCGCTTCCAAAGTCTACCAGGTTATGTCACGGACTCCCTGGCACATTCACAGGAAATAGCCAACACGTCCGGGTATGTGCGCTCGCCGGGGCAGCAGGTTCGTGCGCCCAGGGCGCGATCCCTGGTCCCGACCCCCGACCCCCGGCCCCGACGGCTTTGGGGGGCAGCCTTTCCAACACGAGAGCTCCGAGGCTTGCAGCCCCCTGCCAGCTGCCTCTGCCTCGTTCCGTCTCTCTCGACTTCTCCGCGGGGTTTTGAGAACTCACAACCAAAACGACAAAAATCGGTTTTTTTTTTTTTTGAAGCAGTACTTTTCGGGGGGAGGGAGAAAAAAAAAGGAGAAATGGTAAACTGCAACTTCTCCAAATCCCCCAACCGCCGGCGGCTTCTTGGGCAGGTCCCCCCTCCAAACCCCGGCATCCTCCTCCAGGCTCCCCGCACGCCGGCGTCCCTTGCTGATCACTCTAAGGTTGGAAACCGCAAATTAAATCAAAGTGTGTCACAACGTATATCCTTCACTTACCATATCCGCCGGGACATTACTGGACATCTTGCCGTTTGACAAGCACTCAGATGTTTACACCAAAAAAACAAAACAAAACAAAAACGCTAAAACACAACCAACAAAAAAGATCAAAAAGTCTTCAAAAGCTGCAGAAATCAACCTTCAGGATGTCAACTGGTTTGTGATGTGCTTTGCAAAAAAAAAATAATAATGAAAAAAAAAGATAAACAGAAGTAGTTATTCCGTAATCAAAGTGCTGGCCCGACCGAGGTGGCGGGCGACGGAGCAGCAACGTCTCCGGGTGGTGGGCAGCTGCGGCGGCGACAGCCCTCAGGACCGGCCGCGCCAGGTGACCGACCGAGCCGAGTGACACACGGACTTGGAGCGGGGTGGGAGGGGGTTAAATCCGCCTTCCTCCTTTCCCGGCCCCGGCAGTGATTCACACTCGCTCCCGAGTCAAGTCTTCATTAAGCAGGAGAAAAAACGCCCCGGCGCGCGGGTACACAGAGTGCTATGGCACATGGACGCGCGAGCCGCTGCGTGGCTGCAGGGGCCACCTCGCCGAGCAGCCCGGGCGCGGGGAGGAGGAGGGAGGGGGAAAAAAAAAAGGAAAAACAAAACAAACAGAAAAACAACAACGGCTCAACTGGCGCCGCCGCCGCCGTGGCCGGGGCGGAGAGCCGGGCCGGCCCGAGCCGCGCTCAAGGGCATGGAAGTGAGCCGGGAGCCCGCCGCCCAAGCCCCTCTCCCCGCGCGCGGAGGGCGAGCGCGAGCAGCACAGCCCAGCGGCCGTCGGGGCTCAGGCCGCCAGCGCCTCCCGGCAGCGCCGGAGCTCGGCTCGCATCGTCTCGGGCTGCTCGGCGCTGCTCCGCCGCCTCCGCCTCCCGCGTCCCCGCCTTCTCCTCCCCGCCCCGGCCTCGCGAGCTCCGGCGGCTCCCCGGAAGGGGCCGGGTCCTCCCCGCGCCTCAGCCCGGGAAGGGGTTCCTCTCTCAGAGCTTTGTGTCTCCTCCTCCTCCTCCTCCTTGGCGTCCTCCACTTTTCAGTCCCACACGCCGCGGCCGCCTCCTGTCATCGCCTCTCACACCAACATGGCGACGGCGGCGGCTGCCCGGGCGCGAGTCGGGGACACCGGCTGGAACGCGGAGCCCCTCACGCGGCCGCCGCGCCCCCCACCCTCCCTTCGAGAACACCGAGTGCGTCACTAAAGAGATCGCCCGCGGGCATCATGGGAAATGTAGTCTCCTCGGGGGAGCAGGCCCGGTGGGGGGCGCCGAACGCGTCCTCTCGCGTCTCCGAAGCCACGCCCCTCCTAGCAACAGTTGCTAGGAAAGGAAAGCTCCCCGTTCCTGGCTTGGTGAAGCTACTGCTTTGGAGTTAGAAGATACTCTGCTACCGGGAATGCTGTGATCCTGTGAATGGTTGCGGGGAAATCATTCTGCACGGAGACATTCCTCATGAATAATATGCACACACAGTTGCAGCAGCTTTCCCAGCTCCTGCAATTCCCAGTCCTTTGGCAAAAGGATTTCTTTTAGTTCCTCTCAATATTACATTTTGAAGATCAGAAGCAATCATTGATTTCCTATAAGGTCATAGAAGTTCAAGAGGAACAAGAATCTCATTAAGCAGTGAGAATGTTTGAACATGTGTAACTTGAAGACTCAGAGCTGTGAAGCTACGATCTAGTTAATTGAAATTACCAAACACTGCATTAGATACTATAGTGCATCAAGTCTATATCAGGAAATGACTACTACAAACTGGGTGGGGATTCAGTTTGCCAAGCTAGCTGCTAGATTCTAACTCCTGGTGGAACTGAAGACCTGTACAGCCTGTGCAGGGACTGACTAACAGCAGAGAGCAACTGTCGTTGAGACATTTGGGTGAATAATGTGTCTAGTCCAGATTTAGGAACACAACACAGAAACCACAAATGTTCGTCTGAATCCCAGCCGGTCTCTTTCTTGGTCCTTGGGCGAAGTACTTTCAAAAGGGCAGCTCGATAAAACACCTGCATAAAATGCTAGTGGATTCGGAGCTTGGGAGCCAGCTCTCCGACCTACGACTGTGACATCATCTGTGAACCAGCCTTGCTTCCCTTCCTGGGGTAAGGTGGAGGCACTTGAGAGGATGACTTCATGCATGGGACATAAATCACTCTTAATAATCACACGTCACGGGATGTGAAACGGTGCCACTCATTCTCTCACTCAGGAGACAGATGTGCCGGACACTCTGCTAGGCACTGGGAAATTAAAAATGAATGATCCAGTCACCGTCCTGAGGGATCTCAGAGTCCGGAAGACTGTCATTCCCCATGGCCAGCTCTCCAAACGGGCTTGTCTCATCAGACAGAAACTCACAGAATGTTGGGAGTATCTGCCCCTGCCGCCTGACTCGAGGAGGGAGATCAGATGGTGCTAGAAGCAGGCACCCAGTCTTGCCACACCACTTGGCTCCAGGACTTTGTGCAGATACTTCTCAATCTGTTCATTGTGGCATGATTATCCACGGCCTCTGTGAGATCGCCTGATCCTTCTCCAGTTTGGCCATCACAGGGAAACAGGAAAACAGGAAAGTGGACAACACTGTGATGCCCAAGTGCAGGGGCGATGGTGGAACACATCTGGAAGGTCCTCACTCAACAAGGCTGGACCCTCTCCCCGACTTTGATCCAATGACAGCCCTGGCCCTGGCTCTGCTGGGCCTACACGCTGCCAGGGGTTTAGACGGCAGGAAATATTAAAGCTCCAACTCACCAGGCCTCTGTGCTGCTCTTCCACAGCCCTTCTGGTGGCGGTAGTATGGCCGCCGTCCACCAGCCCAAGACAAGGCCAGTTCCGCCTTGTGACATTGCTGCCTGCTACCTGTCACCACCCCCACCTGCCCCAAAGCCCACGTCTTTTCCTAGTAAAAGAGGTGCAGCTTCCCATGTCTGCAGTTACTGTTCGAAGAGAGCTGAGACATTACTCTCAAGAAAACTTGCAACTCCCGCCTGATGTAGGAACGATCTGGAAGCGGCCCTGATTATGCTTGCACATTTCCTTTCCCTGCTCTCTGCCCCGCAGCTGAGCTCAGGCGGGTGAGACCAGGGCTGCAGACGGGAGCCCAGCTGTCCACAGCAGGGAAGGGCAGCATCTCCATCCCAGAAACCTATTGTCAGCACCAGTTGGAAGGAAGTGAATGACGCAGCATTTTTTATAATGGGAAAAATAACTTCACAGGGAAACAAAAGGCCTGGCTTGGCCATGTGTTAGCTGTGTGACCTTCGCCAAAGCACGTCACTTTTCTGAGCTGCCACTTCATCGGAAGAGCCTGAACTAAATCTCTTAAGTTCTTTTCCAAGAGTCTACGAATGTTAAGTCCTAGGACAACAGAGCAGAGCAGCCACGGTCTTTTAAATAAAAATCTTCCCTAAGTGATAGCTTATGGAGATGAGGAGTTTGGCTTTCTTTGGGTGGGAGTGGGGAGGAGTGAGCAAACTGCTCTAAAATTAGATTGCATTGATGGCTATACAACTCTAGATATCCTAGACAGCGTTCTCTGGGGTTTGGGTTGCTCAACGCCCACCAGATTTCTACAGTTCATCCGAGCAGTAGCTAAATCCAGATATCCTTCCTTTACGTGTCGTTGTATACATATTTTATGCACAGTTTGCTCACCCATTCATTCATCAGTGGACACTCGGGTGGATTTTACTCCATTGCCTATTGAGGAAGTGGTGGGCATATAATATTTAAATTATATCTCAGTAAAGTTATTGAAATATACCTCTCCTGTTGGCCATGTTTTAAAAAGGTCGAAAGTGATTCCCATCTCAGGATCATTCCTTGAGGGTTTTCTCAGGGAAACTCATAAATTTAATTGGAAACATGACTTCCTATGAGACCTAGAATAACCTTGTGAGTTTATCCCACTTTGCTACCTGTTGTCATTTACAAAAGATGAGGGAGAAGGTGAATGTCACAGGAGGCAGAGAAAAATATGCCATGATTCCTCAGGTGGGGACACCACAGACAGCAAGCCTTCTTCATTCCCTGGTGCTTCTCCCTAAAAGATCACTCATTTGGGAGATTGCTGGGTCCTGTAGACTCATGCTTATCCCTGGAGTGAACCCTGGGTTTATGGTCATTTGAGTATGTTTATCTACCTGTTAAAGTTTAGAAATCATATTCTTTATTTCCAAATAATTGACTTTGGTAATACATCTCCTGGGTCATCCATCCTAAAAGCATAAGGAGGCAATGCCCACTTTGCCACAAACTGGCAGCTTTGTTCTTATTTTTTAATTTATTTTATTTTTATTGGAAAGGCAGATCAGATTTACGGGGAAGAGAGACAAGAGAAAGACCTTCCAATAGTGCTTTCAATACTGTTTTTGCTATATCTGTTGGATTTTGATATTTTAATTTTTAATTTTAACTTCTTCAAAACAGTTTTTTTCCCTTACTAAATTCTTCACTGACTCATAGGTCAGACAGTAGCATCATTTTCTTCAAGAAGGTATTTGATTTTCTTATTTTTTCAGCTACACATTAGTCATTTAGTAGAACATTATTTAACTTCATGACATTGTAGAGTTCTATTTTTCTTCCTGTTGTTGATTTTGTTTTATGGATTTTCACTTAAGGAGATATATAGTAACTGTGACAGAGTACTAGAGACCCTCAAGTCCAGATGTGAGGATACAATGCAGTATGCATCTTTACTTCCAAAGCAATGATGGACTCCCAATGAAACTGTTAAATATATCTTGACAATAGGATGCTGGACTCTCTGCCATTGTCCATACCCACAATGTCAGGATACACTTAAATAGCAGAATGATGGACTTGTGACTGTTTATGAAAAAACTGTACTATTGTAATAAAATAGGGGAAATCAGTTGGGGCGAGGGGATTGGGAATGGAGTAAGGAAAATCCCAGAGCCTATGGAAATGTGTCATTAAGAGAGAGAGAGAGAGAGAGAGAGAGAGAGAGAGAGAGAGAGAAAGAGAGAGAGAGAGATCTTCTATCCACTGGCTCAGAGCTAAGCCAATGTGAAGCCACTGGTTCAGGGCTAAGCCAATGTGAATCCAAGGTCTCCTACATGGGCATACAGTCCCAAGGCTTTGGGCCATCCTCTGATGTTTTCCCAGGCCACAAGCAGGGAGCTGGATGGGAAGTAGAGCAGCTAGGCACAAACCGATACCCACGTGGGATCTTGATGCTTGCAAGTTGAGAATTCAGCCATTGAGCCATTGTGTCATGCCCTAGCTTTGCCATTTTTCCTCTGTCATTTACCTTCCTATCACTGTGTGTCATGGCTTCCAACCACATATGAAAACTTCTGAAGGACCAAGGTGGGTTTTATTCATTCCATGCCCCTGGGACTTGGCATAGGGAATAGCGCTCAAAACACCTTGTCACTAAGTTCACAGAAGAAATGAACGTGTGACCTCTCTAACTGCTTCCCGGTCTCATGATTCTGTAATCGAGAATTATCTTCTTAATGCTAACTTCAGGTTTTGAGGTGTTTTGTTTACTCAGAAATGATTCCAAAGTTCAGTATAGTTACTAAGAAGAAATTGCCAATGGCAAGAAGGATGGTTTACAGGTTAAGGCTGTGGAATTTCACTGTGAAATCAGCATGAGTTACGGTCTTTTAATGCACATGCAGGTTTAGCTATTTTTGCAAAAAAGTGTGAACCTGAGTTGGGAGGTCTAATTCATGGACCACCAGGAAAGTCTTGCAGTTCTTTCATTTTGTCTGCTACTGATGCTCCGTAAGTTGACCTGACCCTGCTTTTACCCACACTACGGGTTCATTTAATCACTCAGTACTGGAGCTGGAAAGCAATTCAGACATGACGTCACCTCCATCTCTTCCTTCCCCCCATAAATGAAGAAGCAGAAACTTCTTAAGAAGCAGTCACATTTTTTTCTTATTTTGTAATTTTTGAATGTACCCAAGAATGAGTTTCCTCTAAGATGTTCCAACAGACAAAAAGACAGGCATAATTCGTAGTTGCACTATCTGTTGGTTGAAATATTACTCAATTTTATGTTAAATCATGATTCGCTATGTCAAATAAGTACAGAATTTTCATAAAGCACAGTCATTTCTGTTTTTGATTATA